AGGGGTCTAAATACTGCACAAACAACATTTTCCAAAAGACCAAAAAAGTGAAAAAGTATATTTTAACAAAACGCATTTGACTAACAGGTCGAACAACAAATGTTCTTAAACCCTGCTGACTGCCATTGGCGATTGCCAAATAAACGGATCACCGATGTAATAAATGGATCTTAATTAAAATTTTAATACTAAACAGAAAACAATAAACTTGCGGAAAAGATGATATACCGCAAACAAAAGGTGCAAAGGTTATATATACACAACCATGTACATGTAACTTTCAATATAATTTGGGGTTAAATTGTAACCACATTCATGAGGTTGTAAGGATTTTTAAAGTATTAATATTGAGATGTATGTTCCAAAGTTTTTGACCTGATCTTAAATGCACATCTCTTGTTTAAAACATATAGATTTGTCTGTATCATCATCAATAGTCAGTGAACTATCAGACAACTTTCACTCTTGATTATGCTCACACAAATTGTTATTACCTTTATTAGATAACTCTGATGGTGTTTCCTAGAGTACAATAAATGGCGGAAAATTGATTCCATTTCCTATTGAGGCCCAAAGAGAATGTTTCATCTTTTATCTTCAAGAGATACATTTATAACAAATTCTACCAATACTGAAATACCATTTCTTTAATTAAAATTGAGAATACATTTTGAAATGCACAAAAATCTGTTAAGCATCTATACAAATGTTGGATAAAGCTGTTCATATTTTCAACTTATATTTTTTTAAATATATAAGTACACATGTACTTGGAAGATGTTTTCGTATGATGTACATTTGTAATTTTAGCCAACATTGGCTCTAACTGACCCAGCAGTTTTAGAGTTCTCACAAAGGATTGTATTGTTTACAAAATATCTCATAAAACATTTTGGTCTGCAATGTCCTTCCGTGAACGTGAACACAAGAATGGAAAGTGAGGATTAGTTGTATGTTCTTCCTCAATAAAACTGATGATTTCCTAAGAAACTACGCATACATATACCAGTTAGGAAGGATATATGTAAATATAACATCATACATGTTTATACACATTATATAGGTGTGTACATATCTTAATGTATACTGCAACTTTGATTTATAATTCCAATTTTGCTCTTACAGCAAAATATTGAAATAATTCAGAAACAAAAGATGCATAATTATATGACCTATATAAATATTTGTTTCAACTCTATCTTCTTTTTACTTACAAAAACTTATAGTTTAAATGTAAACAACAATTAAACAGAGAAAAAATACAGAATTTGGAAAACAGAAATTCTTTTGTCAAACTTCTGTTCTATCATAAATTTAAACTGTATACATTTCTATTTAATAGGACAGTATGCTTATAATAACATTTTATATCCATTTTTTTCAAGAATCAACTGAAATGTGTCTGTTGATGAGACACATGTCCAGTAGTGTAAAAACAAAATTACTTATGCTTAATGTTAGTAACTAGAGATATGAATCATATAACTTAAGTAATATAGCATGAAAACAAACTAAAATAGGGGAGATAACTCTCTTATAAACTTATTACTTCATATTCTATAAAATATATGTCTTACATACTCTGAGCCAGTAAAACACCAAGGCTGTATAGCATTGTCTTGTCTTTTAAATTTTAATGATTTTTTAAGTTACCCAAATCCAACAAGCTTTTAATTTTGTTAAAGCATAAATACTAGTTTGAAATATATGCAAAACATACAGATATTATACATGTACTTCTGATTACCGATATTTTTTTCAACTTTCTAATCAAAACATTCCATTTGAAAACATCAAAGATGTCATACACTCTAAGGCTGCATTTTATCTTGATAAAATAAGTAGATATTTATTACCAACATAAAGATGATCTAAAGTACAAATGTACATGTAGTCCTTCATCAACATAAAATGTAAAACTTTATTAATCAAAATAGCTATTATATTATGTAATATGTATCTTTTATAAATGATACTGATAATGCAGTATATTTTCTATTATGTTACTTTGCCTAGGCAAGCAGTTTAAGCCTTTAATTTGAGCACTTATTATTAATTAACCAGCCACTGAAAAGAAATTGTTTACCTGTTCAAAACTCTGAAAGTATAAATTCAGAATACAGCTTTATAAATTGTTTGGTCCATAAACAATTTTTATAGGAAATGCACAGTAATAAAAATCCAAGCTCTCACAGACAAATGCTCATTCCTTGATAGGACCTGAATTTTCACCATATAAGTGATATCACTATCTTTATGCATACGAACAGTTTAAGGAGTGTTCACTTTAGGATGCATTTATTTTAGATATGTTACACAAATTGTCAAGGGTATGGTGTTTCTCCAAAACTTTTTTGACCATGACTAAAAAAATAAGAACAGTACTGTAGCTAATTATAATAACTTTCATCTGTTTATAAAGATTGTTTTTTTGAATGTCAATTTGGATGTACGGGATGTAAAAAATGCTGCATATCTGGTCTGATAAGGGATGTTATGGTCAAGAACTGTTTTACCAGTACTAGCTATTGTATGCCCACTTTTTGAAGTCAAAGAACACACATAACATCTCATTGGTGGGTTCCCTCAGTGTCAGCACTTGTGGTAGTGTAAGACTAAATATAGACCCTAACCAAACATCTTTGTTTTCCTTGGTCAAATGTATCCATATCCTTCTTCCAAGTGTACATGTAAACATTTCAGTACTATCATGACTATGAATAATTGAATACAAAATGTAGGTCAAATATTGATGACAGCATATTCTTATCCTAAAAATGGATGTCTAAAAACCATCAACCATTCAATCAATAAAGAATTTATAATCAGTAATGCTAAACAAATCGGAATCAACATAGAAATAAGAAATCTAAGAGGACCCAAAATTTGAATTTTTTATTAGATATATTCAAAAACTTGCAAAAAAAATCCTGCTTCAAAATTATAAATACTTTTATTATGGATGTTAGACCTAGGTTTGAACATTGGTTGATTTTCAACATTATTGTATAAAGTGATGAGAGACCCATTTATACAATTGCGACTATATCATTACAGTTAACAGTGTAAAATAGTCATCTCAATGAGAACTTCATCTGGTTTGAAGAACCATTGATAATCTATAAGAACATTTACATGTAGATACTGTTTTTGAAGTTTTACAAATAAAGCAGGGGTTTACTGCAGTAATCACATTATTTCTGTACTTACATCAAAGTTTTATAAATAACATGTGATATGTTCCTGTATGGATGTCTGAAGTATATATGCAGATTATATGATCTGTTAACAGTAAATATAGATATCTGAAGCAGATATGATCTGTTACAGTAAATATGGATATCTGAGGCAGATATGATCTGTTACAGTAAATATGGATATATGAGGCAGATATGATCTGTTACAGTAAATATGGATATCTGAGGCAGATATGATCTGTTACAGTAAATAAAAATATCTGAGGCAGATATGATCTGTTACAGTAAATAAGGATATCATGATCTGTTACAGTAAATAAGGATATCTGAGGAAGATAGATGTGTTACAGTCAATATGGATGTCTGAAGCATATCATGTGATCTGTTATGGTATGGATGCTTTAAAAAGATCATATGATTTGTTAGGGTACTAATGTCCTAAGCAGATCATATCATCTGTTGCGGTATGGAATCTATGGATGCCTAATAAAGATTATGTGATCTGTTACAGTATGGATGCTTTAAAAGATCAAATTACATTGTATCTGTTACAGTATGGATGTCTTTACTTTCTTGCTGATTCTAGTTTAATGTGGTTGCATTTGGTTTGCCAGGAAATACAGCAACTGGACATCTGTGGTGTCACAATGCATTTGAACTGTCTATGAAGTCAAGTGATATATGATGTCACACAATGATGACCTTAGGCTTCAATTGGTGACCCACTGAGGAAAAAGATTACACTATATACAAGGTATGAACTTGTTTTATTTGAAAGAGATACATGTACAGTATTGAACAGGTGCTTGCATAAATTAAAAATATGGACATATGTGTCCCTTGTGCACACTTGGGACAGTTAGTGTGGACATGTGTGTCCCTCCAGCAGCAAGAGGGTTAAAAAGATCATGTGGAAGTTACGTTTGAAATCACAAATATGAGGCTAGCCATTTAACTGAATAGACTATTTTCATATTACCGACTTTTGACTCCGGATTATATAATTTGTCGACTGGTTACCTTGGACATCATGGTACTCGGTCAAGTAAGAGCGACCAAAATAAGTAAAATCAAACATATAATCGGTGTAATTTGAGGGGAAAGTTTATTGTTTTCCGATGATTTTGTAGTGAAAAAAAAATGTTAAGCAGGTAATTTTCCCCAAAAATTGTACCGATTGAACGCTTGGTGTTACTTCTTTAGCTTGCTCTTACCTGACTTGGTACCATGATGTCCAAGGTAACCAGTCGACAAATTATATAATCCGGAGTCAAAAGTCGATAATATGAAAATAGTCTATTGACATGATTGAGGTGTTAAAGGATTCTTGGTTGTCTTGTCATATAAACATGTGCAATGTATGGGCAGACCACACATATGCTACCTTTGGTGACAAATGAAGATCTGAAAAATGGACCTTTTATTAGACAAAAAGGGAACCATTAGGCGATTCTAGGGTTAAGAGTTCCAATCCCATATTTGTCACTACCACCCTATGAAATAAACAATGACATTATCCGTTTATTTTGTCTGAGGCCAGAACTCATTCAAATTCTAATCAAAAATATCTTCTCTATAATTTACCATTATACATTTGTTTATTTTGTACCAATAAAAAAATTATGGTATCACTATGTTTCAAGAAATATCGAGATTATGAACAAACTAAATAAATATTTGGTGCCAATGTTAATGATGTACTTTAATTGTTAATTGATTCAAACATACTTTATCATTTATTTACTTGACATATTTATTTATTTACAATTATTTCAATTTGGATTCACCTGGTGCAAAACTCACCTAGTTCCCTGTTTATGCTTCTGGTCATCAGTATCTGTTTGTCCGTTCCCTGCCATTTGTTGGTATTATGAATAATATTTCCAATAGCCCATTAACAGTTAATAAACAAACGATTACTGTCCAATACACAATTTTAAGGATGCTGAGTCTATATGGACTGCGTGAGCTGTTAAATCCCAGGATCTGAACTACAAACTTATACCGTTTTTAACGATTTGGCAACCTATCATTTTGTGAAATTTTATAATTCAAATTTATGAGATCATACAGAAAACATACAGTTTCGAGTCTGCATCATCCGAGATGTAAAATCGCCATGTTGACGGATGTTTTCACCTATAACCTTTTTCAATAATCACTTTAAATATGAAACAGACATTAGTATATTTTTTGCAATGCTTCCAAAATGTATGCTTTGTATTGAAATTCGATTATTTCACAAAGAATTACTGAATGGTGATTATAAATACAAAAATCCTCGTTTGATTTCCATTAAAATATTATCGTTTCATGTTCTCCGTTTATTGACACATATGTCACGTGACCAGAATACACATTTGTATGACGTCACGATAGGGAATTCCCTCCGGGCACCTGCAACACAGGATACCCATGTTTTTATTCACGATAAATCTCATCTCAGACTCGGAAGAGGAAACCAATATTTACTTTAATCAAAATAATGTCCATTTTAACAATTATATTGTCTTTATAAGATATTAGATTACTCAAAAAACTACAAAACTATAAGCTACAGATATGTTCATATGTAAATATGTGACTCCAGAGAGTGTATATATGTCTCTGGTGACTCTTACCCTTATGAAAAATTTCACATTAAATGTAATAAAGAAATTCTAGGAGTTAATTTGTAAAACTTCTAACGATGAAAGTAGAGCTGAATTAGCTAGATTTCCCTTAAGAACTAAAATTATTATGTCATCTATTAAATATTTAAACCATTAGTTAAAACTGATCATACATTAGCTTATATGTTTTATTTAAAGCCACTTGGAAAACGAATCCTTGGGCAATCAGGTAATGTTGTAACATGTCAACAAAAACTTGGGTTCCCCTTTATGACATTATTAAAACATTTGTTAATCAATCTAATCAGCGCATATTAGATTAAAACTTACAAGATCAACGCTCCAAATTTTTAAATTCTGAAAAATTAGATTTTTCCGTAATATTTCAAAGGTAGGAGAACGCACACCATACTATGCTGATCAACTTACTTTCAAGTCTGATCGTTCTGTTATAGCTCAGGCGGAAACCCAGTTGAAAGAGAACAAAAGAATCGAAGCTCTTTGTTAGAGAAGGCGATAAATGCTTACTGTAATGTTTACTATAGTAACAAAATTTTTAAAAGTTAATAGAAACAAATAAAATGACAGTTTTCGGCTAAATTACGATGTATTTTTTCATAAAAACACAATTTGCATAAGTTTTATCAATTTATCTATTACATAATTAAGCAGAACAATTAGATACCAAGTCGACGACATGGTTGTCTATTCAGTTGGATCTAAAAAATGCATAACCTCCGATTTTTTATTTTTTTTTACCACGGACGGAGAACATATCAATCTATTTGTTCCTTACTTTTCGTTTCTGCCCTTCCATTATGTAACTCAAGAAAAAATTCAAAAAATGGGTAACAATTGCATCGAAAAGATCAAATCGAGTGCACCTTTTTATGTTAGGGCGTGTTTGAGTTAAATATTTTGTCTTGAAAACGTATAAAGCAAGAGTATTTGATACATCATCTCGCTTCAGATTCTATTATTTTTATATATCAAGGCTACAGGTTGACTTTATAACATCGAAAGTTCACAGTACTAAAAAATTTAAATATATGGGTCAAGTGAAATACCTTTCTAATGAATCACAAAAACAGAATAGGTGTGTTTGAATAGCAAATTTTTACTAAAAGTACTTGACGACTGACTTTTAAGTTGGATCTTAAAAATGCATATCTTCGAAAAAACTTCATTTTTTGTGTGTGATAATGAGGGTTTATAGTCTTCAACCACTGAAAATTTTTAGTCTGACCTTCCACGAAATATTTAATTAGAATTTTTTTAAATGTTTATGAATTTCCAAAAATTCCACCTGACAACCGATCCGACAATAGTTTTAAGTTGACTGAATGCAGACAAGTACATTAACTGATGCTCATTAGCTAGTAGATACATTTGTCTTTTAAAATACACCTGGCATATAAGGATCGTAATGGTGCTATGTGGATAAATTTATCGGTTTTCAAGAGCTAAATTGGAAGCGCGTCATCCCTACAATGGCTTCCATTTTTACGATTGTAAAAATGAACTGGCGTAATGGGAAGATAATTTTGACGAAGTAGAATCCTGACTGAGCTAGAATAAAATTAGGTGCTCATTCTCTTGAAATAGAAAGAGTGAGGTATAACAGAATTACCCACGGTAAGCAATGAAAGATATCATGCAACAAAATTGAAGATCAAAATCACTTTATTTGGCATTGCCTCAAGTTGAATATCAAAAACAGAGACATATAATACAATCATATGTCTCTGTCAAAAAGAAAGAGAAATCCTTGTGACAAAATTGTCCTAATTTTACCCAAATTTTAGAAATAAACATATTGATAGCATAAAATAAAAACAGTGGGTCGGTAAAAATATCAAAGAAATGTTTAAATTACATTTCTGAATTGTCGAAAGTTAGAAATAATATTTTACAAAACAATTGATGATATTAAATATCAATATTCTGATCAGAAAGTATTGATTATTTAGTTGTGGTAATTTTGTATTTTTGCATTTTTGTATTTTATGTATTTCTATACAATGTACCTTTATTGAGCCTTTACCAATTGTTATAATTGCGAATGTGCTAATAAACTATTGTCTATTGTCTGTTGTCTATGTAACCCATTAAGAATATTTACCTGTTGATATTCTATATAATCTGTTTTACTGATGTGTCTTTTGATAATTTAAGTCGTTTGGTTGCTGTTTTCTGTCCTCAATCTTTTGCCAGGCATTGATTGAGTATAATATTCATCTACTTTTGATCACACCATCTAGTCTAAGAGTACAATGATAAAGGGGTGAAGAACTATGCGATTGATAAAGGAGATGTAGGATTTACGGTAATGAGACAGCAACCAAACACACCAAAAGACATTTAAAGGTCAACATCAATACATTATTTTCTATAGAAGAGGTAGATCTCACAACTGAGACATTCAGAGATTAATTCCATTATCAAAGACAAGACGGTTAAGAAGGTATGCTTAATGTTGCCAATACCAGTAAATTGGTCAAGACTAAATATTTGGCCACTTAAATTCGGACCCCATTAATATCAAATTTACTTTCAAACAAAGGATGCGATTGATCAAGTCAGGCTCAACAATATAGAAAAAGCTAAATTTCTTCTGTAATACTTATAAAGTTAATTAAGATCGAGTCTGTCGTCAATTCCCTGGCAATTGAAAGGGGCAGTATTCTAATGTTGAAAGAAAATAGCACATGATTTGCGTGTCTTGCAGGAGGGAGGATAGCATATCTTTTCTTTCTGTCCATGCTTTGTATTAGTGAGAGATACATAAAAAAAATGTTGACTCATTTCAATTTTAATTGCATTCAGTAATGGCCACTGAAGAAAATGTCCACACTGTTGAGCAGATGCTCACCAGTCACTGTAAAAATCACGGCGAAATATATAAATGATTTTATGAATTTATATAAGAAAATTTATCTACATTTAAATTATGTTCACCCCGTATAACCCCGATACAAATGAATCCGGACGTATACGCTTTCGAATCGAACACACCGTGTACCACGGAGTTCAGACACAGAAGAATTTACAATTTTCAGGAAATTCCAATATCTATTCTTCGGATGATATTTCTCGTCAATATATTCTTTGCTGTATTACTCATCTCTTACTGCAAGCGGTTTTTAAAGTATTTCATATCTTAAGCTGACTCTTTATAGGCAAATATAAACAACGCACGACCTTGCCGCTGATGAAAGCTTGCTCACTTTTTTTTAATAATTATGAATTTCAAGTTTCCCGCGCCTCATATCTTTTAAAACATACATGTTTGATAATAGTATAGTTAAGACTTATAAAACTTGTAAAGACTGTAGGTTTTTGTGTTACCTGGATTGGCTGAAAAAAAATGCATGTTTTTACATGGCTTTATTTTCAAATTGTGTACGCTTCGTTATCTGTACATTTTTTTATACTGTACGATTTCTTTGCGAAAACATTGTATTTGTCATGTGAAATTTTGCATGTATCAAAACATGTTATTATACTTCATGTCAAAATGTCAGATTTTGATTGGTTAATACGAGGGAGACAATTTACTCTAACCCATGGCAAATACTCTATTACCCTTCACGGAGACGCTTGCTCAAGTGTGCGCTTTGATAAATACGGATGATTGTTATGTACAAGATGACATAGTTTATTACTTTGAATTTGAAATTTAATAGACAGTAATAACAGAACATTCAGTATAATAAATTAAATAACACATATCTGAGAGGGTGATAGAGCAGATTGTTACCCCTCGAAAAGACATTGTCAACCTTAGCTTCGCCTCAGTTGACAATGTTTTCTCGGGGTAACAATCTGCTCTATCACCCTCTCAGCTATGTGTTATTTATATATTGTCATATGTGGATAACAATATAGATGTTAAAAAATGATTTACCACCATAAGCCAACATATAATCTCCGTTGCATAGTTGAAATACACTTGGAAGTATTTGAGTTCTTTTGTACATGTAAGAAGTTTCATAATCAATATGGAAGTGTAAATTAGTTAGAAAATACAATCGCTCGACAAATTACAGATATCACTGGCTGAGCGTACGGATAGACACGTGCGATTTCCCATTTGATAACATATTTTGAACGTTTTGAGGCCGTTAGTTTTCTCGTTTGAATTGTTTCATGTCGGGGCCTTTATAGTCGACTATAAGAAATGTTTTTTTTTTCAATATTGAAGGCCGTACGGTGGCCTATAATTGCTTACTACCACTTTATTTTAACTCTGAAGGATAGCTGTCTCATTTGCAATCACCACATTTCCTCGTTTATATATATATATTTAGACTTGTTTATATTTTTTTCGTTTGGGCTTGTATTATATTTTCCTTCGGGTTTATATGATCCGTTCATCCTATTTCGACTCTTTAAAATTCAAGAGTCTATCCTAAATTGAGGTAAATTTTATGGCCTTCCAAATATTGTTTCGATCCCTAACATCACTGAAGAGACATTAATTGTTGAAATCCGGATATGGTGTACTAATTTTTGCACCTTTTGTTTGCGGTATACCATCTTTTCCGCAAGTGTATTGTTTTCTGTTTGGTATTAGATTAATAATTTTTAAAGATCCATTTTGTTACATCTTGTGATCAGTTTATTTGGCAATCGCCAATGGCAGTCAGCAGGGTTTAAGAACATCAGTTGTTCGACCTGTCAGTCAAATGCATTTTGTTGAAATATACTTTTTCACTTTTTTGGTCTTTTGGAAAATGTTGTTTGTG